CTGACGGAAACGGGGTGACGTGGGACACACCAGAGGGGGCGGGACGGGGAGGAGGAGGAGGAGGGGAAGGGACTACCGGGGAAGGAGTGACCAGGAACAGGGGGGGGGTAACCGGGGGACCACGGTGGGGGAAGCGACGGTAGTAGGAGACAGACTCGTCAAAGGTGACGTCACGAGAGTGAAAGAAGCGGTGAGATGGCGGGTGGTAAAAGTGCCAGTCGGACGCGTCAAGGGGAAAACCGAGGAAGACGCAGGGAAGGGTGCGGGCAGTGAGCTTGTCCGTGCCGGAGGCACGGACATGAGCAAGGCAGCCCCAGACGTGGAACGCAGACGCGTCACCAGGAGACCCAGTCCAAAGACGGGTCGGCGAAACCTGCGGCTGCTGAGGGTGCGGCCACAAGTTAAGCTGGTGAGAAGCGTAGCGCACAGCGAACGGCCACAGAAAATGGGGTGCACCGGCATGGATCATGGAGGTGCGAGCCACCTCCATGACCAAACCGATGCGTGGCTCAGCGACCCCATTCTGCTGTGGGGAGTCCGGTAGGGTGAACGTCTGGGTGATGCCCTCCGCACGACAAAAGCGACCAAGGACACCTGAGGCAAACTCTCCACCACGGTCTGAGTGAAGACGCAAGACAGGGAGACCGCGGTGGACACGCGCAGAGACAAGCCAGGGGATGAGAGCTCCAGGCACGTCGGCCTTGCGCTCGAGGGGAAAGACTGTGGTGTAACGAGTGAAGTCGTCGACAAGCACAAGGAAGTAGCGCTCTCGACGCGGCCCAGGGACGGGGGCGGGGCCCCAGACGTCCAGGTGCAGGGTTTGCAGCGGTGCGGCGGTAGGGGGAAACGAGGAGGAGTGAGGGGCACGGCGAAGCCGACCCTCGACACAAGGCGTGCAAGGTGGGGCTGGGGAGGAGGGAAACGCGGGGAGAGAACCTGGGAGACCAAGGACAAGACCGTGCTGGGACATGTGACGCAGACGCGGGAGTGCAGGGTGACCTAGGCGGTGGTGCCAAAGGAGGGTCGGGTGAGTGAGGGACTGACAGGAGCAGGCAGCAGCAACCTGGGTGAGCGCTCCAGCCGGGGGGGCCACGGTGTCCAGAGTGAACAGGCCGGACACCGGGTCCCGGGAGAACGTGGACAGGGGGGCACCAGTGGCGGCCTCGGTACAGACAGCATACCGCTCGTGACCAGGGAACGTAGTGGTGACGCCAAGGTCCTGGAGGCAGCCGACACCAACTAGGTTCCTGGAGAACGAGGGGATATGCAGACCTGTGAGAGTGCCCGAAGGAACCGCCGGACAGGGAAGGGTGGTGGAACTGCGGGCGACTACCGGACCGCCGAAGGGGTCAGCAAGAGAAACGGCAGTTGGAACAGGAAGCGGCGTCAGGGTGGTGGAGTCGCGGAAGAAACACCGAGAAGCGCCAGAGTCCAAGGTGAAGGAAAGCGAAGCAGAGGCGTCTGGCAACGGAACGACGGCGGAAGCACCAAGACTACACAAAGCAGGGGATCCTACGCCTGACGCAGCAGGGGAGGCTAAGCTAGGCACACCTACACTAGGCAATAGTGAGTAATAGGCGGGAAGCACACTAGAGTCATCAGCATACATCACATGCAGAGCAGCAACAATGGCATCCATGTCCAAGTCAAAAATCGGAATACTACGACTAAGCAAACTGTGCCAGTCCGGGAGGTCTGGCGACGGGCCGAAGCGCTGACGAAAGAGGTCGTCCAGGCGACGAAAACAGCGGGGAGTGGAGTGACCGATCTTACCGCAAACGAGGCCGCGGCGAGGACCGGTCTGGATCTGGTACTGACAACGCCCGCCGCCAGAGCCACCACTCGGCACACCACCACGCGCCCGGCCACCGCCAGCGCCGGGCCACTCGGGCGGGAGGACACTCGTCTGCCGCGTCTGCGACGGCTGCTGCGGCTGCTGCGAAGGCTGCGACTGTGGCGGCTGCTGCGGCTGCTGCAACTGCAGGGGCGGCGGCTCAGCTGGACTAGGCAGGGTCCCCTCGTCCGCTCCAGCACCAGACGACCTGACACCACCACTACCCCCTCCCGCACCCCCGCCGCCGCCGCCGCCGCGCCCAGCCTTGGGGCGGCGGCCCTTCCCCGAACGAAACTGCGCTGCAGCAGCAGTCTCAGCCACTGCGGCAGAGCCGTCGGAGAAGGTACACTGGGCTGGGGCACAACCCTGAAAGATAGGGACCGGCACGACACCGCTCGCCTGGGCGATGGAGCGGTGACGGGTCTCTATCACAGTCAGGGTGTCTACAAAGTCGGTGAGGGTGAGGTCCGCGGGGTGAATGCTAAGGAAGCGGTCGCGGGCGACAGCAAGGCGGTCAGGGAGGCGGGTGGCAAGCAGGTAGAGGGTAGAGGTGATGGGCGGCTGGTGGGCTCTAAGCTGTGCATCAGTGCAGGCTGCGCGCCAGGTCTCATCTATCGAGCGCAGGTGGGCAGCGAGGTCAGAGACAGTGGGGAAAGATGCAAGGTCAGGAAAGAGCATCGGGAGGATCAGGCGACCCACCGAGGCAGCCGGAGGGGTGGAATAGCGCTGGATGACAGCATCTAAGTATGCCTGAGCAGTAGTGATAGACCTAAAGCGAGGGCGCTCGGACGGGGGAAGGGCGTTGCTAATGGCAAGCTGGGCGACAGCATCGCGAGAAAGCCAGACAGAGCGCGCACGGGCAGCGGCAGCAGTGGACTCGCGCTCAGTGGGTGGGGAGTCAGCGGGCAGAATAGCAAGGGGGTCTGGGCAGGGGAGCGTACCGTCAAGGTGTGCGGAAAGCGGTTCACCATCCTGCCGCTGGCTAGTGAGTTGGCGACGGAGGTCGGCAAGCCACGCCTTGAACTCCAGAGGCTGGCCTTCAGCGTCGAAGCGAAGCTCCGCCGCCATCACGAACAGTGCAGTGCGGTGCAGGGCAGTGCAGCAAGGTGGAGTGCGGTGCCGTGCGGTACAGTGCGGCGCAGTGCGGTGTAGGGCGGTGCAGTGCGGTGCCAAGCAGTACAGGGTGGTGCGGGGCGGTGCAATGCGGGGCAGTACGGTGCAGGGCAGTGCAGGGCGGGGGGGGGGGGGGGGAACCGTACCAGTGAGGAGGACCGGGGCCGGGCGGGCGCGACGGGGCCGGGCTGGTGCGACGCGGCCGGGCGGGTGCGACGGGGCCGGGCGGGCGCGACGGGGCCGGGCTGGCGCGACGGGGCCGGGCTGGTGCGACGGGGCCGGGCTGGTGCGACGGGGCCGGGCGGCTGCGACGGGGCCGGGCAGGGGGCGACGGGGCCGGGCGGGTGCGACGGGGCCGGGCGGGTGCGACGGGGCCGGGCGGGCGCGACGGGGCCGGGCTGGCGCGACGGGGCCGGGCTGGTGCGACGGGGCCGGGCTGGTGCGACGGGGCCGGGCGGGTCGACGGGGCCGGGCCGGGGCGACGGGGCCGGGCGAGCAGGACGGTGGCCCAGGAGGGGCGCACCGGGGCTGGGCGGGCGCGACGGGGCCGGACGGGTGCGACGGGGCCGGGCGGCTGCGACGGGGCCGGGCTGGGGGCGACGGGGCCGGGCGGGTGCGACGGGGCCGGGCGGGCGTGACGGGGCCGGGCAGGTGCGACGGGGCCGGGGAGGGGCGCTACAGGGCCTAGGAGGGGCGCGACGGGGCCCAGGGGGGGGCGCTACGGAGCCCAGGAGGGGTGCGATGGGGCCTGGGAGGGGCGCGACGGGGCCCAGGAGGGGCGCTACAGGGCCCAGGAGGGGCGCGACGGGGCCCAGGAGGGGCGCTACAGGGCCCAGGAGGGGCGCGACGGGGCCCAGGGGGGGCGCTACGGAGCCCAGAAGGGGCGCGAAGAGGCCCAGGAGGGGCGCTACGGGGCCTAGGAGGGGCGCGACGGGGCCCAGGAGGGGCGCTACGGAGCCGAGGAGGGGCGCGACGGGGCCTGGGAGGGGCGCGACGGGGCCCAGGAGGGGCGCTACAGGGCCCGGGAAGGGCGCGACGGGGCCTAGGAGGAGCGCTACAGGGCCCATGAGGGGCGCTACGGGGCCCAGGAAGGGGCGCGACGGGGCTAGGGGGGTCGCGACGGGGCTAGGGGCGCGACGTGGCTAGGGGTCGCGACGGGGCTAGGGGGGGGGGCAAGCGGAAGCGATAGGTGGGGGGGGGGGAGTCGAACCTACGCGTGATACCTTCTCAAAACAGTGAAGTGAATATTTGCTAGAGAGAGAGTACACACAGATATACCTATGTGTTGTACCCTCTAAGAGGCGACCCTATACAGTCTATACAAACATGACAAATACACATGTTTGACAGTGGCGTCCCAACCAGCAAGCCGCCATCATACACCACCATACGCAACTGGTGCAAGAAGGCTTTCTAGTCCATCGGCCTGGGTGAGCATCACCTCGGCACCCACTCCTTTCGCAAAGGCGCTGCGACTGTCGCTGCCCACGAAGGCGTAGCGGACCGGCTCTTCAAACGTCTTGGCGGATGGCGCAGAGAGACGGCCAAAGAAATGTACGTCACACCCGCCGTCGACCAACTGGTTGCGGCTTCCCGCAACGTACAGACCCTCGGGTCGGCACCATCCCCGGCACAACATTCTCGAGCTCTTGTACACCACCGACAGCCATCTCCCTCCATGTCTCAGGTCAACCCAGTGGAATGAGAACGATGCCATTTGCACTACAAGTAGCGAGCTTTCTCAATATATAAAATTTTTAAGTGTTTACACTTTCAAAATTGTGTATTGTGAATGCGAAGCTGCTTGTAACGCAGCCTAAGGCATCGTCGAAGCGCGCTATTCTCCCTTCTCCAACCATATAATGGGGTTGGTTGGAGGTCATTCTTCCTCCACCCACGTTTTTCATTTTTCCCAGCTCAAGTTCAATACCCGCCCACCCAACCCGCTTCGTCTACCCTCTTCAACATGCACCGCTTCGGTGGATCATCCTCGGCATAGACATATCCCAGTGTAGACAGTTAAGAAAGTTTATGCTAATAGATGAATATATTGGGAACTCTTTGTACTTTATGTCAATGGAATGAGAACGATGCCATTTGCACTACAAGTAGCGAGCTTTCTCAATATAGCTGTTCCCACATCCGGATAAAATAAAACACCCATGGACTCTAATACCGGAGGGTCCTTTATCCGGGACCGGGACCGGGAGATTACGGTATTGCACCTCACCCTTGATAGGCCATGGACTGGGAGAATGGGAAGTGCCAGCGCTTCCCCCGAAGGAGAGGCACCAACTCAATGGGCACAAAGGGCTCCTTGCACCCACTCACCCTCATCACCCTCAACTGCTCCAACCTTGCCAACTCTGCCGGCAGCGCTTTCAGATAAGGCCAGCCAATCAGGTGCAGCTCCTCCAACTCATTGCACTGCAAAACAGCCCAAGGCACGTTGGCCAGGGGGAAGTCACAGAGGCGCAAGCAGCGCAGGTGCGACGGCCAGTTGCCCGAGAATAACTGCATATTGGAACCAGCCATCTTGTGAAGGCCCAGGGAGAGCTGCAGGGTGTGCAGGTCCGTGAGGAGGCTGAGAGGCGTGGGCTGGCTGAAGTAGCCAAGGGAATCATAGACAGTGTCCAGGAAGCGGTGGGAGAGTATGAGAGTGCGCAGGGACCTGAGCTCCAGCACCAGCTGCCAGGGACGACAGGGGACACCCCCAGAGCGCCGCCTTCCAGTGGTGAGCACTGCTGTGTGAAGTGAGGGGTAGAGCCGGCGGTCCGCGCGGCACAGCTGGAAGCCACCAGAGACACGGGAGAGAGAGGGGAGCAGGGCGAGGTCCACATCTACCTGATCAGAGATCCTTGCGTTGGCCGATGAGGGCGTGCAGATGAGGGTGTGGAGGTTGGGGAAGAGGGAGAGGGCGGGCGGCACAGCTTGGTTGCGGCAGAGCCAGTGGCAGGAGGTGAGGCCATGCAGCTCCAGATGCTGCAGGGTGGGGTAGCAGTGGGCGCGGGCGGGCATGGCGTGGGCGATGCGGGCGTGGCTGGCACGCAGCACAAGGGAAGTGAGACCGCGCGTGTGGTGGTGGGGTGCTTGGGACGGGTGCAGGCAGGAGCAGTGAGGGAACGGCGGTTTTGCGGATGATGTTCCTGCCCCGCTGCTGCTCTCACCACCGCTATTGCCGTCGCTGCTGGTACCGCTGCTGCTGCCGCTGCTGCTGCCGCTGCTGCTGCTGCTGCTGCTGCTGCTGCTGCTGAGACTGCTGCTGCTGCTGCCGTTTGTGCTGCTGTAACCGCTTGCCTCATCACAACAGTTGCTCTGGCAGTCGCAGCAGCAAGGGTGGCAGGAGGGCGAGGGGCGGAGGGCCAAGACATGGCGCAGATCGAGCACGCTGCACTCCAGGTGCGCCAGGTGGGGCAGGGCGCGGATGGCCCTGTGAGGGTCCTCTGAGGCTCGGGGCAACTCGAGGCGGGAGAGGCAGGAGAGCAGCGCCAGGGCGGCGGGCACGCGAGTGAGAGAGCAGAGGGAAAGCGAGGTGAGGTGCGAGAGGGATGGCAGGCCGAGCTGCAGAACGGGAGGAGGGGAGAGGCTGGGAAAGGGAGGCAGGAAGAGGCAGGGGCTGGCAGAGAGAAGCGCGGGGGGGGAAGCAGGGGGAGGAGAGGAGGAGAGGTCGATCTCTAGATCTGTGGTGAGGTGGGTGAGGCGGGAGAGCGCCCAGATGGAGGCGAGGGAGGAGGCACTCTCGGCATGCACGTTGGCCTCGTGCAGCAGCAGCGTGAGCGAGCACAGCGTGGGCTGCACCCCGTGGAAGAGGTCCGGCGAGATGTCGGAGGGAGGGCAGGCGGGCAGAGAGGAGGAGGAGCGGCGGGCGAGCAGGGTGAGGGAGGAGAGCGAGGAGAGGTGGCGGAAGAGGGCGGGGGAGTCCATCTGGCGCTGGAAGGCGGGCAGCGCAGAGGGGTCCTCCAGGCAGAGCGCGAGGGAGAGGGAGGCGAGGCGGGGGAGGCGCAGGATGGGAGGGGGGATGGCGCCGGGGAGGGGGAGGGAGAGGTGCGTGAGGCGGGAGAAGCAGGCGAGGGTGGCGGGGGCGAGGGCGAGCACGCAGTGCAGGTTGAAGCCCTGCAGGTGCAGCGCGCGCAGCTTTGGGCAGCCCTGCAGCACGCACTGCACGCCGCGCTCCACCGCCCTCTCCTCCTCAGCCAGCGTGCGCTTCTCCACGCGGCTGTGGTACCGCTGAGGGGAATCCCACAGCTCGGCAAGACGAGCCTGGTAGCGCTTGTGCGGGCTGGCTCTTATGAGCTGGTGCGTGTGGCAGTCAAGGGCCACCTGCAGGTGAAGGGAACGCAGCGTGCTGCTGCAGGGCAGCTGGTCGAGGCTGCAAAGGAGGGTGCTTATATCGGAGGGCGAGAAGAGCACGTCCCAGGGGAGCGGGTAGCGGGTGCTGTCCTGGCGTTGGCGGTAGTATCCGCAAGGTAAGGCAGACCACGGGGGCGAGGAGATGAGCGGCAGGTGGAGGGAAGTGAGGTTGGGGTAGCGCGAGAGAGCGCGCTTCAAGGACGCCACACTGCCGGGCTGCAGTGCGGTGGTGCAGGGGAAGGGCATGGCGGACTGAAGCAGCACCGAGCACACCACCTCCCCCCATCTGCTGCTGCTGCTGCTGCTGCTGGGGTCCAGCAGGGTGGGCTGCAGGGCTGCCGGGTCCCAGTGGCGCGTGAAAGGGGGGGTGGCGGGGTCACGGAAGGAAGGGTGCCAAGAGAGGGAGTGGGGGTGGAAGAGGAGGGAGAAGGAGCGCACGGAGTGAGTGAGGGAGCGCCGCCACTCCCTGCTCACGCACATGCCGCGTGCCACGTCCTCCCCCGCACAAGCCAGCGGCGCCAGCAGCGCCAGCGCCACTGCGGGGAGCGCTGCTGCCTCTTCCTGCTTCGTGCTCGCGTCCTCTTCCTCCTCTGCATCCGTGCTCGCTCCCCCTGCTGCTGCTCTTCCCACGGCTGCCAGCAGTGCTGCTGTAGCCGGCTGTGCGTCTCCCTCATCACCGTCCTCCGCATGCCGCTCGTTCAGAGGCAACCTCGTCTGCTCTCCATCCGGCCGCTCTTCTCTTCCCAAAGCCAAGTCACCTGCCTTGTCCGCTTCCCGCTTCTGCCGCCCTGCCATGGGGGAAACCTGCCTCCGCCCCCCACTCCCCTCCTCCCTCGCACTCCCCCGCTCTGCCGCCTCTCGCGCAGCTCGCTTCGCTCGCGCCGCGGCGGCAATCTCCACCAGCACCAATCCGCCACGTGTGCTGTCACCTACACCGCCATCGTCATCACTAGTATCACGCGCGCTTGCTGCGCCTCTGCCGCCCAGCCACTGAGAATGCTTGCTACCGCCGACGCGGTGCCCCTCGGCGGCTGTCCCCCGTGCTGCGCCGACGCTGCGCCCGCCTTCCGCGCCCGCGCGCACTTGTCCGCCACTTGCGGCGAGAGCGCTGCTGTGAAGCGCGATGTTCGGCCGCCGCCTGTCGGCGCGGCCCTTAGGATTGCCCCGCGCGGCGCCACCGCCGGCGCAATTCCCGCTGCCGCATCCACTCCGACTGAGCGCCACGTGTCTCGGTCCGGCGCCGCCCCTGTCTCGCGCCATTGCCGTACAGTATTCCGCTCTCGAACCGCCTTGGTGAGCGCGTGCGAGACGGGACCTGCGACGCGGGAGAGAAAGCGGCGGAGGGTGGGAGGGAGAGCGCGAGGAGGCGGGGGTTTGTGGGAAAGAAGGCGATCGCGGGGGGAGAGAGAGAGAGGGGGGAGCAATGACGAGCGAGGATGACCCGTCCGACAGCCGACAGCGAGCCAGGCGGTTATCCCGCCGGGCAGTGGCAGCCGCCGTCACTCGTTTCCCCATCGCTGTCACTTTTTGCTTTGAGGAGCCTGCGATTGGTATGGCGACAGCGTGCGATGGGGAAACGCGAGCGCGCGGAGAGCATGTGGAGTGTGCGACGAGCACGCGACGGGCGCGCGACGAGATTAAGGACACCTGGATATAGAATTGGGCCGGGAATACTCGAAAGGCGCCACGAGCGCGATGCGCATACCTTGAGCAGGATTGGTGTAGCGAAACGGTCGAGGGAGGAGAGGCGAAGCGGAGGAGAGGTGAAGCGGAGGAGAGGCGAAGCGGAGGAGAGGCGAAGCGGAGGAGGCACAAGAAGCGTCGACCGCGGGGGAAGTGCCGGTAAGCACTGCTCGATGCCGACGACAAGAGGTGCGACCTTACGAGCGACTCGCCTGCGAAGCGAGCTCTCTGCAGTGAGAAACGTCTAGGATGGAATCAAGTCTCCGCAGCGGTGTAATGACTCATTACCTTCTACAGCTGCTGCCTGCTCGAACAGGGATCGGCTTTACCTGCAGTGCTTGCTTGTGCGGGGCTTGCAGCTTCCTGCGGTCCGCACCGCAACGCCAGTATGTACAGTACCCAGGACAGCAAGGTTGCGTGGGAAAGGCTGGTGGTGACGCGAGAAGACTTACTTGAACCCCGAACCCCGATCTTTAACGAGTACAAATGGTTTGAACTCGCCAACCAAGAACCCTGATTCACAATCTAGTCTTCGTCATAGCTTTAAAAACCTCATACCGAAAGTTTCATTATGGCTGCATCAACTTGACAATATCACTTTATAAGATTGTAGAACTAGCCATAGGATGTGGTCTGTTACAAGAACCATAGCACCATGCAGTTGCAGTTTCAACCTGGTATCTGATGCTGCCGCGCCATCCAGCCACTACACCTGCATAGCATACGCAGAGCGGACCGCTGACAGCATAGCCCACTGACAGCTAAGCCCACTGACACCACCAGAGGCTGGAGCAGCAGCACTGTACACGTCTACCAGATTATTCATCAGATGGGAGTCGGGATATACAGCTGTGTCAAACAGCAAGAGTCAACCGTCCCATGCCGCATTATCCTCACCAGCATCTCTAGCTGCTCGTATACTACTGTCCACTTTACCCTCACCCTCCCCGAATTATCCCCATTTACGAAGTGGCAAGGAGGGTCTCGAGCATAGTGGCAGACACAGCAGCAGCAGGCGCCGGGGCTGGAGCAGGGGGAGCAGCAGTATTGCTCCAGAGCACCCACTTGACGAGCCAGGGGCGCTTGTCCGAGTGCAGAGAAGAGGCTGCTGCTGCTGTGTTGGCTGCCTTGCCTGCGCTCTGCTCCCACAGTGCAACGAAGCTGCCGTAGTGTGCCTTGGCCGCCAGAGAAGAGTCTGACGAAAAGAGTAGGGGAGGAGGGGAGGGTGGGGTGGGAGAACTTGGGCGTCAGTGCAAGTGCGGAGTGGAAATTTGACGGGAGGGGACGGAAGTGACCAAACAAATCATCTGGGATGGGCATGCAGCGCACCCCGTTGTCACAATAAAAGGCACCTGACATGCCACACATGGACATCTCAACCACATGCAAGCACTGGTCAGCACACAGGTGCATGTGCAGCAAGCATGAGCCGAGGAGGACGACGAGGCATACTTTTAGGTGTGGGTGTGCAGGAGAAGTTGCCCGTGGTGAGTGCGAGGGCCTGGTGGTGGTGGCTGGCCAGCGGAGAGACAGCAGCGGTCCCAGAGAGCGAGGCGTCGAGGGAGCGCAGCAGAGCGATGGAGTCAAACGACGTGTTGGGCGCACACGAGAGCGATGCCAGGGGCTGCAAGGGGTGGGAGGGACGGGGTGGGGAGAGGGGTAAGGGGTAAGGGAATGTAAGTTGGACATGGGAAGACAGCGCAGGTGTCTCTCCCCCCCCTCTCTTAGGCAGAGGCCTCACCCCCCTGTCCCTCTTCACCAGGTCACAACCCCCGACCCTCCCCTCCCCCCCCCCAACCCCCCCTTTCTTTTTCTGCCACTCCCCACCCTTGTCCTATCCTCTCTTGGCCCACACACCACACAGTCCTCCCAGCAGTATGTCTGCAGAACCAGCCCTTGGCACACTAACTGGTTTCAGAGCCCCACATCACCCCATCCCACCCACCAAACCACCTCTCTGCACCCAAACATAGCAGCACCAACCCACCTCGAGGGCGGCCTGTGCTTGGTCTAGTGAGCCGGCGTCGATCCACAGGAGTGGGCGATGGGGCGGCAGAACAGCAGCACCAGAGGGCGCCAGCAGGCGCAGCACCGCTGAGGCGTTCCCACTGCCCACCGCTGCTGCTGCCACTGCAAGCGCTGCCTGCAGCTGCTTCGCCTCCCCGCCCCCATTCACAGCGGACTCCAGTGGTGTCTCCACCCCTGCCCCTGCCGCTGCCCCTGCCGAGTGCGTGAGAGCAGCAGAGGCCACGTCAGAGTTCCAGGCAAACGTGGTGAGCGCCCATACACCGCCGCCACCACCTCCGCGCTCCACCGAATTCCCCTGCTGCTGCTGCTGCTGCTCCCACACCTGAATGCCTTTGCCTGCATCCAGCAGCTGCGAGCCATCGGCCGACAGAATGACATAGCTCACGCGCACCAGCACTGCAAGGTGCCCTTTGGGATCACCAACCACTCTCCCACCACCACCAACCACCACCTCATCCTCCACCCACCCCTCCCCTCCCTCACTCTCCACCACCCCCCAGCCGTCCCCAACCTTCTTCCCCGGAACTGTCTCCACGACCTGCACGTCCACGGGGTTGAGCTGCACTATCGTGTCCGCCCACGCCTCAAACGCGCCCACGCGCTCGTCGCCGCACACCGCGGGCCGCAGGGCCGAGTGCGGCGGCAGCAGCGTGAGGCACGGCGCGACGAGGGGTAGGAGGGAGGAGGCGTTGTCCTGCGCCAGCGAGATGGCAGCCGAGAGGCGCGGGAGGAGCGAAGCGAATTCCACTCTCACGTCCTCGGGATGCGGGACAGAGAGAGGGACAGGCGATGGGGAGGTAGGGACCGACGCGGCAGCAACGTCAGCAGCTGCAGCGGCAGCAGCAGCGGCAAGGGCGTGCAGGGTCTTTGGCTTGGTGCAGGTCCATGCAGCCCATGCGATGCCATACACCCACTGGTCCTTGCTGCCCACCTCTGCGCTGCCGTTGCTCGCCTTGCGCTGCTCGCGCTTCCACAGCAGAAACAACGAACCCGATGCTGCCTCGGAGCCTTGGAGAGCGACGATGGGGGGGAGTGGGGCGAGGTGCGGGAGAGCAGTGAGGGGAGGGAGCACGCAGGAAGGCAAGAGGAACAGAAAGAGGGAGAGGGAGGGAAGATTAGTGGTGATTGATACTGGGAGGTCAGTAAGTTCCACAGCCATACAGTATGACCACATCCTGTCACAGCAAATGCCATGCAAACGCACGCACGCATACAGACACACACCGTTGCCCACATTCTCCACACGTCCCACCCACCCCAGCCTTCAAACCCCTAAAACCCCAAAAATCCAGACCTACCCAACCCTTTACCCCAAAGCATGCCACACCCCCGCTAAACGCCCCTGCGCCTCCCCCTGGCGCGTACCGTTGGCGGAGGCGGAATAGTCCCCCCAGGAGAGCGCGTAGAGCAGGTCCTCGTTGGGGTGCGCGGGCTTGGGCTTGGGGAAGGCAAAGTCCGCCAGGCGCACCGCGGAGATGGGCAGCGAGAGCAGAGTGTCGGGCGCCACCAGGGACTGGCGGAGATAGGAAACAAAGGCATGAAAAGTGGTGGGAAATGAGGGTGGGGGAGGGGGGAAATGAGCCCCGGGGAGGGGGGGAATGAGGCGGGGGAGGGGAGAAATGGGTCCAAGGGAGAGCGGGAATGAGGGCGGGGAGCAGCGGGAAGGGAGAGCGGAATGTTGTGGTGAGTGTGCGTGAAAGAAGAGGCACGGAACGTATACCACTCCTCTAAGCCCTCCACTCGTCGTCCACCATCTGGTCATCCTGCACCTCGGCCGCAAGGAGCAGCAAGCAGGGTGGTCACCTGTTATGCCGGGGAAGGCACCAGCTCTCGTGTGCGCCCGCTTCATCCTACACCTACCTCGCTCTCACCCCAAGCCCCGCGCCCTCCCCCCGCCCCAACCTAATCTACCACTCTCTACCCGTTTACTCAACCCAACCGCCACGCCCGTCCCTTCCGCTTCCCCGTTGTCCCCGCAGCCCCTGATGGCCCCCGCGTTACCTGCAGCAGCGCGCGCTTCTCCTCCGCGGTCACCGCCAGCGTCTCGCGCCCCCCCGCGGGCAGCGCCAGCACGGGCCCCTCCGCCAGCACGTCCTCCGCCGTCTCAGCGTCCCCCAGCGCCAGCGCCGCCGCCAGCGCCGTCAGGCGCGCCTGCAGCTGCTCGCGCACGGGCCCGGGCTTGGGGTCGCGCACGGCGGGCGGAACGCCTTCGGAGGAAAAGATCAGCGCGGCGGAGGTTGCGGAGACGGCGGAGACTTCCCCATAGGCGGGAGTGGGGGCGGGGTCGCAATTCCAGATGAGCCAAGAGAGTTTCCAGTTGACGGGATCCGATTGCAGCCCCTCTGTTGCTTCTACCGAGTCTGCTTCAAACGGGAGTTTCCCGACTCCGACCCACACGGCGACGGCCTTGCCCGTGTGAGCGGCGCCGCCGCTGGCCTTGCTGGCCGTGAAGTCGAAGCGCGTGAGCAGCAGAAGCACGTCGTTGTTACGCGCGCCGGACTCCAACTCGAACCCGCTCTCCGCCGCCGCCTCGTTAAAGGCACGCTCCAGCGAGGACGGATCCTCGGTGGACCCCACCACCAGCTCCGTTAGCGTCGGCTCTATATCGAGTCGCTTGTTCGCGATCCGCTGCGCGAACGCGCGCTTGGCGTTGTCCGTCTCCAGGACCTGCCCGGGGCTGCCCGGCTCCAGCACTACCGCGGTGGGCGCGAAGACGGTGGCGGCGGCGGCGGAGTCGTTGATGGCGAGCGCGGAGAGGAAGTCGCGCACCTTGCGCAGCACGAACGGCCGCACCTCCTCGGGGGAAGGATCGCGCAACGGCGTTTCCGCCGGCCGTAGCGCCGCCGACGATGCTGCGCCAGTTATAGCGCCTTCTGGCAAAACGGCGGTGTTTTGCGCCTCCGCGCGGTCCTCCGGCGCGGGGGAATGCAGGGAGGGCGGAGCGGGAGGCGCGGGCGGCTTGCCGGGAGTGGCGGACCACATGATCCACTGCACGGCGAAGCGCGCGGGAGGGTCGCGGGGAAGCGCGGCGGCGGAGACGGAAGGGTCGAAGACAGGCGTCCAGAGCAGCATGAGAGTTCCGTGCGCTAAGATGTCGCCTGAGGGGAAGGGGCGCGGAGGGGGGGAAACGAGGGGAGGGGGCGGGGAAGGGGGGGAGGAGGGGAGGGGGAGGGAAGTCTCTGAATAAGCTGGTCTGAGAGAACCTGTAGTTCAGGGTGCGAGTGAGAGAGCGAGAGAGCGAGAGAGCGAGAGAGCGAGAGAGCGAGAGAAAGCCAATGGGAGGGGAAAGGGGTGGGGAGGAGGTTTGGGAAAAGGCAGGAGAGGGAGGGAGGGGTGGGGAGAGGGAGAGGGAATGACGGGGCAACGACGGGGAGAGCGCTGCCTCCGCCGCACTGACCGTTGGAGACGTTCGAGAGGAGGAACGTGCCGCGCGACAGAGCCACGCGGCCCGCGTCGCTGCCGAGCATCTCGCGGGAGTCCTCATCGAGCGCGGGGGGCGCGGCGGCGAGGGAGGGGTTGAGGAGGCGGAAGGGAATGGCGTCGTCCACCGTGAGGTTGAGCGTCAGACCCTCGTACACCAGACCCTGGGGGGGGCAGGGGGAGGGGGGAGGGGGAGGAGAAGGGGGAAGGAGCGCGGGAAGGGGGGGAAGGGGATTTTTTTTTGGGAGGAGGATTCGGGCGAGGCCAGACGCAGTGGAAAGATGAAGGTGAAAAGCGGAGGAAGAGCGAGGGCTTGAGGGAGGGCAAGGAAGCGAGAGAGAAAGAGAGAGGGGGGGAGGGGGAGGGTGAGGGGGGGAATTTTGGGGATGGAGAGTGAGGCGTGGAAGCGACGCTCAACGATGGCATGAGAGACGGCAGGGCGACGGACCGACAGAACTATCTGCTTCTCTCGCTCTCTTTGAAACGCCTGGGTAGGAATCGAGCCACCGGCATTCTGCAGCACGGCGCGAGAACGAGGCGCTCACCACCAGCAATATCGCTACATCCTACATTCTACAGCGACCGCTCCAACATTCTACGTTCATCGCGCACCTGGAACAGCTGCTTCATCGCCTCGAGCCGCGTGATCGTGCGCGGCGGCTCGTGCGGCGGCAGCAGGGTGATCTCGGGGCTCAGCGCGCCCTGGATGGTGGCGCAGTCGCCGCTCGCCACGGCCTCCGACAGGTCCTCCGCCTGCTGCTGCAGCTGCCGCACCACCGCCGCCCTCCCCCCTCCCATCACCGCGCCCGCCGCCCCCGCGGCGGAGCGAACCTCCGCGGACCTCCGCGCGCAGTTGAGCGGGGTTTCCGCGGATGCGGAGGCGCCGGCGGAAAGGAAGCGCGAGAGCGGCGCATCAAACTCCTTGTCACTCTTGGCAATGTCGTCGTTCCACATGGCCCACGTGAGCTTCCACTTGCCGCCCTTCTTCTTCTTCCCTTCCACGCCCGCCGCAGCATCATCTGACTCGACGTCCGCCACCTCCTTACTGCCGGCGGCCCACACGACGATGGCCTTGCCAACGGTGACCACCTTGCCCTTGGGGCTGATCACCACGTACACCAGGCTCGTCGCCGCGTTGCTCGCGTCGCTGTTCTCCGCGGGGCTCGAGGCGGGACGCGCGCTCCTCGCCAGCAGCATGTCGGAGATCGTCAGCGCGATGCGCGCCCCGGCCGCCTTGAGCGAGCCGAGGAACGCCACCTGGCTGTCCGGGTCCGAGAGGTTCGTCGGCTGCTTGCCCGGCGGCAGCAGCCAGACCTCCGGCGCGAAGATCGCCGCGGCGTCCGTCGTCTTGTTGGCGTGCAGCGCCGTCGCGAACGACTGCAGCGTCGCCTGGATCTCCGCGCGCACCATGTCCGGCGGAACGTCGCTCATGAGCGACGCGCCGGCGACGGCCTGCGACTCTGCGACGGGATCGGTTGTGTCTACATTGCTGGAGTACAGGGACGGGAACAGCTGACGGGTAGCGCCGACAGGGGAAGGGCAGAAATGGAGGACTAGGACTAGCACGCAGGGAACGAGCAGCAGGCGAAAGCCTGCTGCTTGTGGCGCCATTGCTCGTCAGAAAGGCGAGGAAGGTCGTATGAATTGGATTGGGGAGACTAGTTGGGTGTGGAAGCAAGGCGCTAACTTCGGGGCGCAAACCAACAAAGTGATGCGAAAAGAATGAAGATTGTAGAAATGCACAAAGTGCCAGAAATGGGCGAGGCGTGTTAGTTACTGTGGCCGTTTTGCGCGTGATGGAGCGACAGCAAGCGGGGAGGAAGGAGAGAGGTGGGGTGAGGAGGAGAGACCTCGGGAGCGGAGAGGAACGACAAGAGAAGCTGGGGAACAAGGGGGCCAGCAAGGGCGAGCAGTGAGGTGAGAGGGGAGTGCGAGCCGGGGGGAAGCAGTCGCACGAGCAGGGATTGGATGCGATTATGCGAGCAGGCCGCGCTCTGGGACGTGCGACTAATTTACCAGACGATCCCACGTCGGAGAAGAACTGCGAATTTGTGCAGTGAGGGTTGAGATGCAACGGCCCTGGATGGCCGTCGCGAAAGAGCTGCGACGGCTGAGTTGTTCGCATGAAAAGCAGCAACAATTGAGCAGGCAGAATGTTGCCCAGCCAGCCCTCCTTGGTGGTGTCAGTCAAGTTCACTGCATGTGGCCCGACCAATCTGAAAGCTTATTACCGTTGCATATCTATATTTGCATTGTTAGGCTTCTTGGCCTAATTCCACTAGAGAGAAACGGAATCTACTAAATCTAGGAGAATGCACATCGGAAGTCTTTAGCAAGAGTTGTTGGCAAAGTATGTTGTAAGGAATGAGTAATTCCTTACTGAGGCTTGCTACAGGGCGTACGACTCGAACTGTCCCGAACCATCGCCAGGGTTCAAGACTGTTGGGCTGAGAAAAGCCCTTAGGATCTTTCCAGAGACTAAGTCCCACTTGTATAAGGTGTTTAAGTAGTGCAGCGGAAGTGTTGAGTGGTTGAACCCTTATACTAGTATGTGAGAGCAAGTGATTGATTAAAAGAAACAAGCATACAGCAATATATAGAAAATAGGAAAAGTAAAGCAGTTGTAGAATACAGTTGAAGTAACCGTTATCAAGTCGCATAGCGACTCGATTATCGGTTCGGTTACCACTCTTCGAGTCCTTTTCGTCCTTTCGTGTTCTTTTCGTACATCTCCTCGTGTAACCTCCGTTGACTCGCGTACCCGTTACGACATTCCTCGAGTGTAGTGTTACACTTCAGAAACGCTTAAGTCCTCGAGATATTTCCAACACTCCCCTTCATTTATGGAGTGCTGACGTGTCCGGATTCGGTGACGTTTATCTGCCCGGTCAGCAGCATGCAGTAATCGAACTTTGCCTTCGCCAGTTTCTTCGTCAAGTAATCTGCGGCCATTCCTGTCGTAGGACAGTAACTCAGTTGAAGTCTCCCTTTCGCGATCTCATCCTTGACGAAGAAGTACTGCAGGGCGATGTGCTTGGTTTGATTGGCGAACTCTGTTCGCGATTTTGATCGCGGATTGGTTGTTGCAGAATAACAACAAGGCGGGCATGGTCGCAATTTTCGCTTCCTCGAGCAGCTCCCGCAGGTAAAGTCCTTCTTTGGTTGCAAAGCAGAGAGCGATATATTCCGCTTCAGCCGAAGATAGCGCGATTAATTCCTGCTTGCTCAATTGCCAGGAGATAGTCCCGATAGGTTCTAGTCGGTAGATGTAGCCCGTTCTGGAGCGACGGTTCTCCCTATCTCCCGCGTGGTCGGCGTCGACATAGCCGAGTAGTTGTACGGACGATGTTGTTACTTTGCTGTAGGTAAGTCCAGTCGTCGGCGTAGAGACGAAATAGAGCAGTGCCCGATTTAGTTCCTCGAGATCCTCTTGCTCCGGCTGCTTCAGGTGTGTCGCCAGTTGGCTTGCGCTGTAGGACAGGTCTGGTCGGCAAGTTACTGCTGCAAATAGTAGACAGCCGAGCTTCTGTTGATATTCCTGGATTTGCTTCGCGGGGAGTTTTGCGGAGGTCTCGCTGTTGTTCCCGTAGCAGTAGGGAGTTGCGACTGCGACTGGCGTTAGGTCGAATTTCTTCGCGACAACGCCTGCGTATTTTCCGGCATGTAGGTAGAGCGCTGAGTCGTCTACGATGATGTTTAGACCCAGGTATTGGCTCACGGTATCTGACACCGTGAGTGTTAAATCTCTCCTCAGCTCCCCTTCGAACCAGGTGGTGACGTCGGTAGTGGAGCCGACATAGAGTAGATCATCGACACGGACGATGAGTAGGACGAAATCCCCCCCCTTCTGTAGTCGGTACATGCCTTGATCGTGCGGCAGCTGCAGAAAACCGATCCTGACGAGGCGGTCGTGGAGGTGCTGCTGCCAGAGCCGCGGGGCTTGTTTAATTCCGTAGAGGGATTTCACCAGCTGGCACACCTTTATGGGATCGTCGATGAATCCGTTGGGCTGTTCGACGAAGATTTCGGCGTCCACAGGTGCATACAGGAAGGCGTTGGCGACATCGATCTGGCGCACTGGTATATTTTTCGTGGCCGCGACGGCGAGCAACATGCGCAGGGAAGTGTGTCGGGAAACCGGGGCGAATGTCTCAGTGTAGTCGGTTCCATATCGCTGGTCGAATCCTCGTACGACCCAGCGAGCTTTGAAGCGGTCGATGGAGCCATCCGCATTGGTGTTGATGCGGTACACCCATTTCCCCGAGAGCACACTTTTCCCGTTAGTTTTTGTCGCAGATACCAGCTTCCACGTATTTCGGTCTTGTAGGGCCTTTAGTTCCTTTTCCATTGCTTCCTTCCATTTTGCCTTGTGCTCCCCCCCCAGAGCCTGCGACAGAGTCGATGGCTCGCGTGGTGACGGCGGTGGCGGGCTCTGGACGGCGACCCATAGTCCAAGTATCTGCAGGCCCGTGGGTGTGTGTCGAGGGGAATTGGTATTCTCTGGATAAGCTGCTTCGTCACCGTCTTCGCGATCAGGTAAGAAATTTGGTCCGATGCGTTCAGAGACATTTGTGTCGACCGGTTGAGGTGTAGCGTAACCCTGGTCAGCGAAGTGGTAATAGGTGTCGAGGTTGTTGCTATCGAGAGGATTGTCGTCGTCGAGTGGAACGGGCACGCAGCAGTAAGGGAGTGGTCCAGCAGCTTCCGAGGCTTCAGGTACGTTTTCTTCTGCTGCGTCAGCTTCGGCAGCACGGTCGGCGAAGGACTGATGGCCCTCGAAGCCGTCGGTGGGGTCGTCTGTATTGGCGATGTTGTCCAGGTAATGTTGCAGCGTTAGCCGCTCGTAGAAAATCACATCACGTGAGACCACGGTGGTTTTGTCATGAATGTCGAGAAGTTTCCATGCTTGGAAATGTTTTGCGATGCCGAGGTGTAGTCCCCACCGTGCTCGTTGAGAGAATCGACGTGCTCGGGCTGTGTGGGTTCTGTACTGTACCATGCAGCCGAAGACGCGAAGTAATTTTGTGCTGCCCTGTTTTCCTGTCCACAGCAGGTGCGGTGATGCGCTGTTGGGAAGTGATGACGAGGACAGCAAATTGTGCAGGTGGACTGCATGCGACATCGCGTCAGGCCAAAGCATGTTGGGCAGTCTCATCCCCAGGAGCAGCTTCCCCATCGTCGTCTGCAAAGTTCGGTTCATCCTCTCTACGACCCCCTGCTGCTGGTGATCGTAGGGCAGGGACACCAGGCGTCTGATGCCTCTTTCTGCCAAGTAGTTCTTGAATCCTTGTGACTGGTACTTCACTGCCCCGTCTGACTGGAAGCTCTTGAGTTGCGAGCCCGATTCTTGTTCAGCGATGGGCAGCCATGACGTGAAGGCTTCGGACGCTTGATCTCGTGTCTTGAGGTTGTAGTGCCAGACGTATCGTGTTGCTGCGTCAATGAACGTTATAACATAGTTGTACTTTGCTTCAATGTCGTCTCGAGGCATATTTAAGATGTCGCTGTAGACTTTTTCCATCGGTGCGTATGCAGGTGCGCTTGGATTGTGGTGCGACGGAAAAGGTTGGTGGGGAAGATCGGCTTCGAGGCACGTGAAGCATTGTGCGTGGGGTCGTCGAAGTTCCTGGCCGCTCGTTGTGAGTAGAGCGTTCTTTTCTAACACCCCGGCTTGTATGGTTTGTAGCACTGTGCTGTTTGCAGGTTGCCCGAGGCGTTGATGCCAGATGTCGTCAGGAGCGCGATGGCCGAGTGAGCGCTGGTACATGTCGGCGTTGGAGAAGAATGCGACGACCATTGCAGGACTGCGGCAGACTCCTCGGGTGATGGGCATGAGTTGATCTGCTTCGGATGGCGATCCTCGGATTGCTGGTGATGGCGTACGGCTAGGTCCTGCTGCTGCTACTACAGGTGATGTCATGTGAGGGACGCTTGGTGGTACTTGTCGTTCTTGTCGGATGACTGCTACCCTGCACGTGCGGCTTTTATTTTGTTACATTCGAAGATTCGGTGGCCTGGCACTCCGCAAAAATCGCACGTGAAGTTGGTGTTTTTCGGACGTGGCCGCCCGTTGAATTTGTCGATCTCCATCGCGTCGGCGAACGTGGGGTGTGCCGAGCGGTCGCCATGTCGCGTATTGCTGACGTACGTCCGTTGTGTTACGGTGTTGACCATGTCAAACCACTCTGCTGCCAATACGACGTCACTGTAGCTCGCGTAAATCGTCGCTGCCACCTGTCGCTTGACTTCGGACTTCAGCCCTGCGAGATACGATTGCACTTTTTCCCTTTCGGTCAGGTTGAGAATGCGGTTATACAATTACTCCATCTGCTGGGTGTACTGCGCTACACTCCCGAACAGTCGATAGTGATGATATTTTATTCCCGGGCAGGGAAACCTGAATTTATCAGTTTGAAACGTTTAAGCATGTCGGTGTGGAACTGCTTTCACGTAGCTTTGCTATGGATACATGCAGTGTTGCTGCCGATCCATCCGATTGCCAGTACTCGCAACTGTTGTGTAATGCCGCCATATGCTATTATATTGTGTTTGCCTCCCATCCCATGTTTTCAACTTGCATATGTGGTTTGAATGTGTGCAAGCATTTATGTTTGGTGGGTTCTGAAATTTGTGGATATGTTAAGGTGTTATTATGTTCAAGGAGGTGTTTGTGATGATAACTCTTGAGAAGATATTTCTGGCGGATCAAGAATCTCTTCAATCGAAACAAGA